TGGACAAAAAGAATCGATTGAGAAATGTCTAAAAATTTAAAACCTAATTGATAAATTTTATGTTTTGCCAATTGATAATTAGACAATATGTTAGAATTAATTTTATCTTAGTTTTTTCTTAAAATGCTTCCTTTGTTACTTAAAATTAGAGAGAATTATATTTTTACATTCGGGTTTGGTATAGTGGTATAGTGGGTAAAACTTTTCTATTGAAGTGAGGATAATTTTGCAATAGAATTATTCGAATGAAATTAAGCAGAATGGACCATACTTCAGAGTGACTATGGGCCCGAACTGGAATTTACATTTCTAAAAATTCTCTATAATACAGATAGTTCTTTATTTATTTTCTTAAAAAAAAAAAATGTCATCATTTTTAGATTTATCGGGATAACAAATTCCTAGGAGGTGTCCCGTAAAACCTCTCGGAAAAGATAAAATTTCTGCCATAAACTTATACCTTGAGTTAAAATTCTCCACGTTAGTATAAAAATTACATAAAAATTATTTTTTATAAATGCATTGTATTTTCTCATGTAAGACGACTGCTTGTAAATTTGGCATTATAGGTTTGGTGGTTCTCCGGCTTGTAATAAAGGTTTTTTTCAGTTTTCAATCAAAAGGGATTTGATCTCAAATCCCTGATATATGATTAAAACCAACTATGGATATAGTAAATCTAGGGATGGCTATGGGCAAATCTCTAGCTCATTACTTTAATTTTTTATCCTATTTATAAAATAAATATTTTATTTATTATCCGTTAAAAAATCACTGTATAAATTTTTACTCGATCTACACTTGACTCATATTAGTTTACTCGCTTATTTAGCATTTATTTCATAGTCATTAAAATTAATTTATCAAAATATTCATTTTAATCGTTATATTTGTAAAAAAAATTTGGTCCTGAAAATTTAATTTTTCTAGCATTTTGGTTCTTTATAATTTTTTTGTTCCTCGATTTTTTTGAAAAAAATATTTTGGTATTTAGTTTTAAAATTTTATACAATTAAATCCATGTATGTTAATAAAAAAATCAAAATAAATTAATAAGATATCAATAGGGTAAAGAGTAGGTACATACATTCTGAAACTATGTTAGTGGATATGAATATTTTTTTATTTTTATCCATTTCAATATCCATTATAGATTTTTAATAAATATTTATTAGATCGGTTAAAACGAATACCTATTTTATACGTAGTACATTATCATTCTTAAGTAAACCCCACAATTCATTGTATGGTACAACAACAAACAATCATAAACCATGTTGAAACGAAATTGTTATTGATGGATGTTTAAGATAAGGGCTGAAAAGACAAGCTTTACAACATGTTTGATTAAACGTAATGTAATTAAACATGTAAGGTAGAGAAAAATGTAATGAAATGGAATAGAATGGTTCGTTGTATTCCTTTATTTTAAGTTTTTTTGGTATTTGTACTTTACAAAATTTACAATTCAGTTTTAATAATGAAAAACTTTTTGCAATCAAGTCTCTAAGAAAATTGCTTTCATCGTATAATGGTTTGTTTTATTTATTTATTTATTTAATGCTTGTTGTGTAACGAGTCTTATAATTGTAATGTTCCATTACATTACATTACAATTTAAAAAAATACACAATCAAATATACAAATATAACAAATCATTACATTATATATTCAATTGCATCAAATAAAAAATACCATTGTTGTTTTGGATATAATTTTCATTCTATGAATAAAAATAAATATAAAATAGGTTTTTAACACTAATTAAAATGGAAGATGATGATTTATGATATGCATGATGAAGACAATAATGATGATATAAAAATTGCTTAAAATTGGCCTTCAATTTAAAGTGATATATATAAATTCATAAATTCACCAATAGAAATAAATATATATATTACTTCTTTAATAGAAATAAATATACATACCATAAAAGAAGATTGATTTGAGTTGAAAAAACTTTAATTAATTAAATATGTGATCTTGAGTTCAAATCCTTATATATGTAAAAAACTTTCTTCATACCTATCCATGCTATAACGAGAGAGTAGACGAGAAATTAATCTAAATCTTTGAATCCAGGATAAATTAAAATAATATACACACACTATTTCTTCGATGAGAAAAGCTATATATTATCTCTCAACTCACCAAGACACCAAAGCCTAACTAATGATAAAATGACAATCAATCTCCAAATATCAGCAGAATTGTTTTTTTTTTTTTTTTTTGAAAGTGAAGGATAATATAAATAAAGAATTAATGATTGGGTAAAACCATTCTCTTTTTCTTCATTTATCACTATACAGGGAAAAAAAAATAACTTTTCAGCTTATGGATAATATTTGTACTCCAAATGGTCAAAGCACATGTACCTTTGACCAAGAAAAGTACAGGTGAACAATACAAGACAGGTGCCGCTTTTTGTCTCGATTTACTGGTCCAACACGACTTCATCCGCAATACGTGTTAACAGAATACAAAGATGGAGATGTCTTTTTTTTTAAAAAAATAAATAAATAAACTGTATCCACACAAATCGTATATAAAGCAAAAACAAGATCACATCACATGTAAATTTGATTATTATTATTATTATTAATCTAAAGGGATTCCTACCTTTGATTATTATTATTATTATTATTAATCTAGAGGGATTCCTACCTTTCGCATTAGCAAATATTGGTTGTATATAAAGCAAAAGCAAGATCACATCACATGTACATTCGATTATTATTATTATTATTATTAATCTAAAGTGATTCCTATCTTTCGCATTAACAAATATTGGTTGACTTATGAGATTTGTATACGTGCAAAATCATCCATGAGTAAATTACAAATTAGTCTTTTTTATTTTTAATAAACAAATTAATTAATTTTTTATTTTAAAAAATATTTATTTACTTTCTAATCAATATTAACAATGCTTAATTTGATATTACTCTATTTTAAAAAGATATTTTCCTTTTTTCATCAATCTTTCTATAATTTTTATGTATTTTCCTATTTTTATTACAAAAAATAAAATAAATTAGGAAAGAATATACAATGAAAATAAAAACCAAAATAATTAATTTTGAAACAACTGAACTCATTAATTTATTTTTCAAAACTAAAAAGATTAATTTATAATTTACTCTCATCTACGAGCTAGCCTAAAATCTTGAAAAAAATGGTTCTATTCACGATTAAAAAAACAAGAAGATAAATTTGTATTGAAACTCGCAAATATAGTAAATTAGTAATTACTTTTGTCAAAATCCGTCAATGGCGTTGTTTTTCCCGAATAGATAAAGAGACTCCTATTTTCTTTATGCAAAATAAAGCTATCGTTTCTTATTCCTTTGATAGTATTTCTAGGTGGGAGAAATTTTGATCTTTATAATTGATATCCATTTTAATTTTTTCAGGTAAACTTCATTTTAATTCCTAAATTATATATACTCTCTCATTCGAGTCATGAAATAATATATTTTATCAATTAAGTTTCAAATATTTCTCAATTGAATCCTTTTTTTAAAGTTTGCCAATGCTTCCAATTTAATCCTCCAAGTTTATGCGATAAAACTACATCGTCTAAAGAACAGTTGATAGAAAAATAAGTAGAATTGGACAAAAAGAATCAATTAAGAAATCTCTAAACATTTAAAACCTAATTGATAAATCGTGTCGATCAATGATTAGACTAGCTTTTCTTAAAATTTTTCTTAATATTCAAAATTAAAGAGAACTATATTTATACATTCAAGTTTGGTATCGCAGGTAAAACTTTTCTACTGAAATCGAGGATAATTTTGCAATGGAATTATTGGAATGAAAATATGTCATCATCATCATTGAAAGGGACAATAATGTCTACACCATGACCAAACCATCCTCTTCACATGGTCGTTTGAATTGAATGAAGTTTGGTCCTACACTAGTAAATGACTCCATTCTCCTAGAATTAAATCCAAGAGCTATCCCATGAACTCTCATTTTGAGATCCATCCCATCTCAACACAAAAAATGTCAACCCTCATGGGCATAAATTTTTCTCTCAAACAAATAAGGTCGAAAGCAATGCTTTCAAATATCATTTTCACACTATGTTTTAGTCAATTTTACATATTTTAATTATTTTTTATATTAAATTTTATTTTGAATGGAATTAATTTTGAAAAGTTGGTTTGATGGTTAAAAAAATTTGTTTTTTTTTTCTTTGATTTCAAACCTTAGTTATTGAATGTATTAGACTAATATGAAAAGTATGTCATTAAAATCCTTTGAAAAAAAAAATCATTGATACAAAAATTATTTAAAAAATATTCATATCCTTACTGTAAAAAAAAAAAAATCAACAATGGAATCGATATATTTATAAAAAATTACATTTTCATAACTTTATTTTAAATTACAGACGGAAATAATAAGGTGAAAAGTAAATCTATTTATTATCGAAAAGAGGAAACCCAAAGGATAAAGCAAAAAAGTTAATCATGCAACCATGCTAAGGAGAAGGAATATTACAGATTAAATCACACATAAACCCAACAGACTTGACATTTGCCATCTTATCAATGAAGCACGATCAAAAAGAAAGAAAAAAAAAGAAAAAAAAATCAGAAACATCCAATATATCTCTATCTCCCTGTCCGAAAAAACCCAAAACGAGATAAAAGAAAAGGTCGGCTTTATGTCGGCAAAACGACTTTTTCACTTAGTTTCTTGCATCTTAAAAAGCAGAAAAAAACACTGACATCTCCGTTCAACAACAAAGCTCAAGAAAAGAAAGAAAGAGAAAAACTTTGATTCCAACGAACACCAAAGCCAACCATCAAGAAAAGCAACCCCAATAAACCAACACAATCAAACAGTAAGCAAAAACACCTTTACAGCCTCAAAAAAAAACAAGCACTCGGAAGGAAAGGAAACTTCTCTCTTCTTCTGTTATCATTAACACACCAGTCTTACATTCGTTCCTTTTCACCGTGTACTGATAAAAAAACCTCAGAATGTCGTTTTTTGTTGGCTTAATTGTTGGTCTCGCTGTCGGTTTAGCATTGATTGTTGGTTTTGTTAAGTCCGAGAATGCAAGATCCAAGCTTCGGTCTGAGCTTGTAAGTAGTTATGTTGTCTTGCTTTGATGTTAATTAAGTTGGTTTGACTATAAAGTTTGCATCTCTTTGTGTTTTTGGTTTCTGGATTTTTGGTAAGTTATTGTAAAGTTTGCATCTTTATGTGTTTTTTGATTTCTTCGTATGGTTTTTTGCTTTCTGGGTTGTTGTTTAATCATAATTTTAGGCAACAACTATAGCTGCTTTCGCAAGAATGACAGTGGAGGATTCAAGAAAGATCTTGCCAGCTGAGTACTACCCTTCTTGGGTTGTCTTCTCTCAGCGCCAGAAGTTAAGCTCTCAACTTATTCTTACTCTTCCTTTTTGGGTCTTTGTATATGTTATGTCTGTGTTAATAAGGTTACTGATTTGAATTTTTTTTTATTTTTATTTTATTTCTTCAGTTGGATTGGCTTAATCAACACCTTACAAAGATCTGGCCTTATGTTGATCAGGTATTTTGCTTTTATGGGGTTCCACTTTTCTTCTAGGTTATATCATCTGACTATCTAGTTATTAGAAATAAAGGGTCATTGTCAATTGGTTTTGGTTGTGAGAAGGTGAATTTGTTTTATCTATAATTTGGTGTGTTTAGGCAGCTTCTGGCCTGATAAAGACTTCAGTAGAGCCTGTTCTTGAGCAATATAGACCGATTATATTGTCATCTCTCAAATTTTCGAAGTTCACTCTTGGCACTGTTGCGCCCCAATTCACAGGTTGGTTTGGTTCCTTATATGGAACGATGTTAGATTTTGGTTGTGAATTTCTCTTTTTTGCATCTAGGATGCAATTATTTATGGTATTTGTTATCGTGCTTCGTTCATGCTCGTTTGCAATTACAGATGACTTCACAGGTTAGTTGTAGTAGGCATGCAGCATTTCATTCAGTTTTTGTTATGCTCTACTGGTCTACTGTGAGCTGATTGTGAACTTTTGTTGGAGACTTGTTTCAGAGATTTCTTTGTTGTAGTTGTGTTCATACGGCCAAAACGGTGGTCCAATTGTAGGATCTTTAGTTCTGGCTGGGGTATGATCAATTGTAGTATTCGATTTTCAGCGTATTGTAAAATTTTGGTGCATTGTTTTCCATAGACTGTACCAACTGGCAATCCTAAATCAATGTTATTTTTAGGAGTTTCTATCATCGAAGATGGAGGCAGTGGCATCACTATGGAGTTGGAAATGAACTGGGATGGGAATCCAAGTATAATACTTGATATTAAGACTAGACTTGGCGTTTCTTTGCCTGTACAGGTAAAAACAAAAAACAAAATTTCTGAATATCACTATATCAACCTTTTAAAGGCAATCTAGTAGAGAATATGGAATCGTTATCCAAAGATGAGCTTTAACTGTTTTTTTTTTTAAATTTTTTTGCTCCCAGCAATTTTTCTTGCGTGAATCTTCCAAAAATGCTACAAAATTGTAGCCCAACTCTGCTTCTTTCAACATATTATATCTTGAGTAATCATTTGAAACTTAAAAAGTTTCCTGTCTGACAGCTTATTTTATTTTGCTTCTAAAACTCTCTGCTGGTCAAATGTAGAATGTTGGGACTTTCCCCCCAGCATGCACATGCATCAGCCAGACATCTTATTCGGACAATGTGCTTAATTCTCCTCTGTTCAAGAATTTCTTGTTGTATCATATAACTTGACATTTAATGCAGCTTATCATCATTTCATGCTTTGCCCTTTCTCTGTCTGTCTGCCTCCTCCTCTTTTTCTTTTTTCCCCCTCTTTACCTTTTTCTGCTCTCTTCTATTCAGGTCAAAGATATTGGATTTACTGGGGTTTTCAGGTTGATCTTTAAGCCACTAGTTGCTGAGTTTCCCTGTTTTGGAGCTGTTTGTTATTCTTTGAGGCAAAAGGTGCAGTATCTGTTTTCAAGTGGTAAAAATTTTTGGTTGAAGCTTTGAGATATGTTAATGAATCTACACCAAGAGAGAGGTGTTTTTTTTTTTTTTTTTGGGGGGGGGGGGGTGGGGATGGGTGGCAGTGTTGTTATGTGTAGTTGCAAACATAGACAAACATGTGTTGTTCCTGTAGAAGGAAGCAGGTGCCCTGCAAATTCATAGAATATTTTACCAGACCAGACTGTTATTTGAATATAAAATGTCTAGTCAATTACCAACAGACATTAGTATGCCACTGGCTTTGTATCTGTTGATGTATTTGGACTGTAGCACCAGCCAACATAGTAGCACACATAGACATGCAGTCAATTCTATGTTGCTCACGTTAGATCAACCATATCCATTTTTCAATCATATGCTTGTGAAATCCTCTTCTTTCATTTCTTCTGGTAGAAATTTAAATACATTTTTTTTATGGGACTGGGAGTTTAAAGTATCATTTGAATGTGAATTGTCGTATCATGCAGCCTAGTTTCTCAGTGGGGACTGATCCAAAGCTTCAAACTAGTCTACTTGACAATAAAGAAGTCAATTTATAAAAAATCGTTAACCATCATAATGTTTTCCCTAGGTTTCTCTCTCACACGCAGTCATGTGCTTGTGCATGAACACACAATAAGTACAACTATTCAGTGTATGTGTTTTTTGGCTCGCAGAAAAAAATGGATTTTACACTTAAAGTGATTGGTGGTGACATATCTGCAATTCCTGGACTTGATGATGCTATTCAGGTTTGTAAAACCCATGGTTGACCTACTTCATTTCATCATGCAGTAACAGAACCCATTGTCATCTTTCCTGATTTCATAATGTGGTAATTCATTATTGCTTGACTCTAACAATTAACATGACTTCTTTTGAATTTTATGGATTAGAAATTGTAATTTTGAGTTTTCTTGAACTATAACCTGGCCTACATAGAGATTAATCTTGTTATTCAAATGAAAGCAAGTATATTCTTTTAGTAAATTATAGTTTATGTATTTAATTCAAGGTGGGATTAAAAGTTTCCGGTTTAAATCATCTGTCTTAACTGGTGGACTTAAGATACTTAGTCTATCGGTCGGTACCCTGGTAGATTCTGTCAAAGAGATTAAAGTGCAAGAGTTCTTAGTTAATGTCTGTGAAAATGTGCTTGTTCTTCATGGCTTTGTGAATGATTTGAAGGTCCAGTTGAGTTACATATTGAAGGTTTGTAAATAATGGGAGAAATATGTGCTTGTGGAGGATGGTGGGGTAAATTTCTTTTTTGCGGTAAAACAACAGAGCTTTACTTTCCAGATTTACGTGACAACATGATTCAAGCATCATAAAGTTGCATGTTTGCCCATACAGGAGACAATACGGAATGCTGTCGAAGATTCTATTACCTGGCCTGTTCGGAAAGTTGTTCCAATTTTGCCTGGGGATTACAGGTATGTCAATACGTGGCAAGAGATGGAAGCAGAACTTTGATTGCATTTTTCATTTTTTTTTCCCTTATAAAAACTACTGTTTTATTGACTGCTGGTCTCTGAATTTTCATTCCATGATCGTAGAAAAGCATTTGGGTCATTTTGAATGATTAAGTATAACACTGTGGACCTATCACCCAAAAAATACTTAATGGAGGAGCTTTTGGGGTCTTGGACCTAATTTGTATACACTGAGAACCTATCACCTCGGACCTATTGAATTATCCTACTTTTTTATACACTGCCAGCATATTACCAAAAAATGCTAGTAATAGTTGCTTTTGGGATCATTGAGTATAATGAATGTACAGTTGATCTCCTTACACACTCCCCGAGTACTGGGCTTGTCATTGTACGTTAAGTTCTCATGCTCAAGTGTCTGATGACAGCTTCTTTCTAATTAAATACTTGGTTGAGCCATCCAGAAGTGATGATGGCATTGGTGGTGGTTCATTTTTCCCTTTCAAATAGGTAGAGAGGGTGGGACCATAGGACTGCTCAGAAGGGGTGATGGCATTGGGGGTGGTTCATTTTCTCCTTTCAGCCTGCTAGAGAGGGTTTGACCATGGGAGAGGGGGCAGGGTGTGGCGGTGGTTATTGGTTGCTATTGTTTATCTTTTTAGCAAATCGTTGAAGTAGCTAATAATTTTATTCTGCAGTGACCTGGAGTTAAAGCCTGAGGGAATATTGGAGGTGAAGCTTGTGCAGGCAAAGGCTTTGACGAATAAAGACCTCATTGGGAAATCTGATCCCTTTGCAAAGTTATATATACGCCCTTTACCTGACAGAACGAAAACCAGCAAAATAATTGTGAGATATCTTAATGTTCTTTGGTAGTGTAATTTAAATTAAGCTTTTTTTCTCTTTAGAGGATTTTGTTTTACATTACATGATTTGAAATGAATTTGCCTTTTCCTCTGTAGAACAATGATCTGAATCCAATATGGAACGAACACTTTGAATTTGTTGTTGAAGATGCATCCACTCAACACGTGGTGGTAAAAGTTTATGACGATGAGGGGCTACAGGCAGCTGAGCTCCTTGGGTGTGCCCAAGTAAATATAAGCGAGCTTGAGCCGGGTAAAGTGAAGGATGTCTGGTTGAATCTGGTTAAGGATTTGGAGGTCCAACGAGATAATAAAAACAGGGGGCAGGTGAGAACAGTTGTTACTTCCCTTTGGAGATGAATTATCATGAAGACTCTGAGAGATCTTTAATGTCCTTCTTGGATAATACCATGAAGACTTTTTCAATTGTATTGTTGTCTCAGCTATTGTATGATTTTAGGTACACCTGGAGCTTTTGTACTGTCCTTTTGGTGTGGAGAATGCCCTTGCCAACCCTTTTGGCTCTGACTATTCAATGACCTCTTTGGAGAAGGTACTTAAAAGCGGGGCAAACGGTATGGAAATTAATGGAAATGGAAATGGAGTTGCACAAAAGAGAAGAGAGGTTATAGTTAGAGGAGTTCTCTCTGTCACTGTCATTTCTGCAGAAGATTTGCCAGTGGTGGATTTGATGGGTAAGGCTGACCCCTTTGTTACACTGACAATGAAGAAATCGGGGATGAGAAACAAAACCAGGGTAAGATTCCATGCAAAACCATGATTTTTTATTTTAACTGCTAAAGTACTTATGATTTCTCATCAAACTTGCCTTTCCACTTCTAGTTATTTCTGTTCCTTTTGCTTTTCTTGTGGTGAAGGAGACCTTTGAAGAAGGGGGTTTTATTCATCTTTGCTCTTCTGCCTCATGCTCCTAGCTTCTTAATATCTTCAGTGGTTACTGACTGACTCTGGTTCTCTCTAGCTACGGAATATAGTTTACTTCATTCTTAACCTCCTTTTCCAGGTTGTGAACAACAGCTTGAATCCTGTCTGGAATCAACCTTTTGACTTTGTTGTTGAGGATGGATTGCATGATATGCTTATTGTCGAAGTTTGGGATCATGACACATTTGGGAAGGTAAAAAAAAAAAACTATTTGCCGTATTTTTAAGTTATTCAGCATTTATTGGTTACGTAATGGTACAGTTGTGATCATTATTGGTCCATAGTTTTGTGGTTCTTTTGCATTCTCACAGTTATACACACAGGTTGTCACTATAATGACCTGAGTTGATTCTATTTTCTTTTTAAAAGAACATTTTTAATAACCATCTTTGTGGTTTGTTTGAGATTAAGTGAAGCTGCTCTTATTGTCAATGCTATTGAAATTAGAAAGTTTTCAGCAATTCCACTTTTCTTGATATTTTTTTTTTTTGGAGCAATTGCTAAAATGCTTGCAGTTTGCTACTTACACTTTACACTCCAAAATAAATGTGTTGGTAATTATATGGTGGGGCTGACTTCTGAAGTAGCTGCTTAGATGGGTCCACGTCCATCTCGTCTGTTAACTTCTGATGTTAAGCATATTGGCCAAATGGGTGGCTTTGATATTATGTAAATACCGACCTCTATGAAGCATCCACTTTAGGGCAATATATATGTATGTCTGCTCACAAAGAATAATTGATCAGATTCATGGACGTTCCTATGAGGAAACACTTATGATGCTCGAACTCATGCCTTATCGAGCATGTTATCCCATTTTTAAATTGGTTATATTCCGCAGCAGCAAATGCTAGTCACAATATGGGTTTCAATGAAGCCGGTTTAGTCATTAGTAAAGCCGAAGTCAATGAAGGCACTGCTATGTATATATCTCAGTATGGGAGTGCGGTAGTGGTGCTTATGCACATTTTTTCCGTCAGGATATTTGGTGGTTGAAGGCTTGGCATTTTCAAACTTTTAACAGAAGACTATCCTGATAAATAACCTAAGATCTAGTTACTTTGATGGATTTAGAGACTACTGCATTGTGAATGCCTTCGCTTGCTGACCTTCTGGTGCTAGAATGAGTACTGACACTGATTTTGTTCTTGACTTTATATTTAATTCAGGATTATATGGGAAGATGCATCCTGACTTTGACCAGGGTCATATTGGAAGGGGAGTACAAAGACTGCTTCCAACTCGATGAGGCTAAATCCGGAAGATTAAATTTGCACCTCAAGTGGTCGCCGCAGCATATTTATCGCGATTCTTGAGTGAACCTGTCGAGCAGCAGACAGCAGACCATTTGAAAGAGGCTCTTCTTCTACCCACCCAGTAGATGCATACAGGGTACAGTACTGACATACTTGCATCTTAGCTAATAAAAATCTCGTGCTATGTATATGGGAGGAAACACCGTTAGTGTAAATAAGTTTTTGTTGTGGTCTAAGGTAAAGTATTGAACAAGTATACCAAACAGGTAGATGGGTGGGGAGGACAATAGGAAATGTTGTACCATGAGATTGTATGCTTGGCAAGGACAAGCCAAAAGACAACTTTTGAATGTTCCTTCGGAATGATGCTACGATTCAAGTTATTCCACTGGTCACATCTCATGTGGTGAAAACGTTGATTTGTCCCTTAAACAACAATAAAATGTGAGTGAATTATAAATTAGTACCTCTAGTTTTGTAGAATGAATTAAATGGTCCTTCTTGGTTCAAAAACTAATTATTAATTCACTCACAGAATGTTGCTTGCTGTCGTTCCCGACTGTTTTTGGTGGTAAAACTATAATTGCTGTTGAAAGGCAACTAATGTGGAGTTAGAGAAGGCCTTTTAAAACATTTACTTCGTAAGTTGTAACATCTCACGAATTCTAACTAGGTCCCTTCCTAACTCAGGTCCTGTAACTAACAAAAACCTGATCAGAATCCAATCATTCTAAAGTATAAACCTTCTACAGGCATTTAGATATGATTAATATCAACCATTGAAACATACGATACCAGAGGTGGGTTCCATAAAATCCACCATCAAGTGGCTAAGATTTTTTTCAGAATTTTTTTTTTTTTTGGATCTATGATAAAGAGATCATTTAGCCATCGTACATGCCAATTGAAACTAAATTTATACTCTGAATGACTTCAAATATGTATTTTTTATGTCAATCTAGTGTATTCAAGAAAATAAATTCTCATAGATGCTGACTTCGAAATTTAAATAGTTGCATTAAGTATTTTTTTTCCAATACTATATATATATATATATTCAAATTCTCCGAGGTATCCTAAGCTTAAAGACTTGACTAATCTCTCGTTTTTATGTTGGACACACAAGATAGGGATAACAATCGAGAGAGTTTTTTATATATATAAATAATCAAATTTAAAATTAGAATCACTTCTACTCGAGACTATTATATTTTTTTTGACAATTCAAATAGGTTGGAGATTTTATTAACTAATCACATGTTAGCGAGAACCCTGCAAGGTTGTGTGAAAAATGAATCACACCTTGAAAATGTCGTTATGGAAGGCATCACCTTGGTACAGAAACTGAAATTAAGTCACTTGGGAAAATTATCACCCACTACGTAAAAAAACATATTCAAGTTAGTCCATTCTAGTTTAAATGTTTCGGTTTGATCCCTTTTAAGGTCATTCCATTCTTCAGACCAAAAGGCTATTTTTTTTTTTTAAATCTCCATTAGGAATTACATGTATCCAAACCCGCATTCGTATCCAACGGCTAATTGATTCTCCTCTCTTTTCCTAAAAACCACGACAGGTATTGTGTTTAATTTCTTTTTTAAAAAATTAGCTTGATGTCTAAAAATAAACATACTCTCAAATACGCATTAATTAGATTATTAAATTTTTTATTTGTTTCTGATAAGAAAAATATTTGTTTCATATTAACGAAGGCTGAACAACTAAAAAATCATGCACTAGATTTGTTTACTTTTAGGTTTCTTTCTGATGAGGAATGAAGAAGGGGATGGAATCTCACTTAATTAAAGGATTTTGACACGGTATTAATGTACCAAATCCTTGTGAACTACTTCTCTCATTTCCTTGCTTTTACGTTTATTATCTATTGTTTTCCTTCTTCTTCTTTTTTTTTTTTTTCCCCTTCAAAAAGCTTTTTTCTTGTTGCTCTAATTTTTATTTGGTTTTATTCATTATTTGACTCTTGTATTTTTAGAATTATTTTGATTGAGATCTTATACCTTTTTTTTCCTTATTAGTTGAGTCTTCCTACTCTTCATTTTGTTTTGTGAACATTCCTTTGTTATAACGTTATTAGTTTATTAGTTGATGTGAAAAACCAGTAGAAAGACTCAATGAAAGTAATTCAAAAAATAAATGAATTAAATTATTATTTATTTATTTTCATGTTATTATTTCTTAAAAACCCCATCCTAAAATGTACGATAAAAATGTGAATTTTTTTTAAAGCTATTTTTATAATAAGTTAAAAATAAGGAAAAAAAAAAAAAGAGAGCCTAACATGCAAGTATTAAAATAAAAATGATGATGTGCAATATCAATCAACTACGGAACGTAGTTAATGGATCTAAATGTCTAATCTTTGACAAAAAAAATAAAAATAAAATAAAAAATTTCAAATATTTGACCAATTCAAAACAAAAAAAAGAAAAAAAGAAAATGGGATTGCTCTTTCAAAAAAAAATAGGGACACTAGGGACTTCACCGCATTGTTTTCCTTTAATATAGATAATTAGCTATTAATCAATATTAAAGTTATTTTAATTTAATTTTAATTTTGATAAACATATTTGGCACTTTATTTTTTTAATTGCATTTAATTTCACTTTGGATGTATTTTATTATTTTTAAATTATTATAATATTTTTTAAAATAGACTTTATAGTTTTATTGTGATGAGGTTCCACATATGATAAGTTTTGTGATCCATTCAACAATATGAATTATTAAAAAACAATAACATAAAAATTAAAAAAGAAAAAAATAATTTAGTCTATATACTCTTTAAATTGATTTGATTGAAGTCTCGTACTTTTTGAAATATTATGATTGAGTTACTATATTAGATTTCATATATGACAAGTGTCATATATTTAAGAGTGTAAATGCCAACTCACAAACTAATAATATTATGATAGAAGAACAGTAACAAAACAAAATAAAATGTATAGTAAGTCAATCAAACAAAAAAAAAAATACACGATCTTAATTTAAACAATTCAAAAAATATATGGAACGTATAACGGGCAAAACCCATTTTTGTTTATGTTTTGTTAGGTTTAGACTTTGGACTTAAATTAAAGGTTGGTGTGCCAGTCCTATTATTCAGTATGAGTATGGGATCCATTTAGAATCAAATAGAAAGTTTTGCGTGTGTATCACTTAATTCATCAAATAATAATAATTCACATATAAAGGTTAGATTTCAGGAAAATTTCAAAAAAATTGAAAAACCGACCAACAAATTTAGGTGTGTTTGAATTGGAAATTTGTTCGATGATATAAGGAAAATCCATCCAATTATAGCATAATGAAACATCTCATTCGAAAGGTCTTCATTCAAGAAATTATCCAAATAAAAAGCAAAATATTCCTTGTAAATAGTTCTTTTATTATTATTATTTGGCTATAGGAATATTACTTGCGATCTGATTTTAACAACTGATATGAAGAAGGGTATATTTATGGATCATACATACATACATACATACTCCCTCCATTTTCAAACCCTCGAGACTTTCTCAAGTTTTTCTATAAAATTTTGACAATTTGTTAAAAATCCAATTACAAAAAATTATTAAGTTCCTCTTCTTACATAAAAATATACGTACCATAAAAATTATCTCAAATCCCATTTTTATTTAAAAGAAAAAAAGTACAATTTCGAATATAATGAATAATTTAAGTGATTTTTTTTGAAAATCTTATGTATTTATTTTACATGTTAATTAATTGATCGTAAAGTTATAATAATATTGTATGAAACAGTTTCTTTTATTATTATTATTATTATTATTATTACAACAATGTCCTTAAATGTTAAGGGAGGAGAGATAAGGTAGAAAAGAGAGGAGAGTTCGTTTTTTTTTAAGGATTTCTATGATGCATTAGAACGTGTTATGAGGTTCAAAAATGGATTTTTACATGTTTTTGTGATGAAAGGACTGTTGTAGATGGAGTTGAATTGCTGCCGCTGGCAGAGGGGACTAGAGTGTCGTAGCGTCTTCTGCCTCCTTCTATATTTTTTGTAATGGGTGGGCTGGATTTTCAGCCTAGGCTATTGAGCTTGGTTATATCTAAGCCCATCCGCATCGGCCTAGTGCCTGCCCCAGCCCAATCTCCTATGTTTCTTATCTTTGTTTTTATGATTTTATTTTATTTATTATTTATTATTTGATCTAAATAATTTTTTTCAATAATTAATGGATTTTTTTTAATAAATTAATTGAGCATCCTCTTCTAATTTGATTTTTTTAAAAAATAAATAATTGATTACGTATTTTTTTATTTATTCATCAAAATCAAATATATTTCTAGGATATATTTAAAATCAAACATGGAAGATAAATGTTTTATTAAATACTACATAATATATATTAATTTATTAAATACCTCATATTGCATATTAATTTAAACCAATTCCACAATTAATATTGATTAATTTTTTATTTTACTTCTAAATTGTTTTAATTATTTAAGATATTAAAAATATTAATTTAAACAGGTAACGACCAGAATAAAATATCTTAAATATTTGAGTAACAATATCAAGGGATTGTGCATTAAATTTCACAAAGCCATGTCTAGATAAATAAACAAAATTAAACACAAAAAAATAAAATAAAAGAGCGTTAACATTCATCAATTGAAAACCGGACGGAACAATTTCAATAACTAAACATGTATTTGTATTGTGAATTTAAAATTTTTATAATATCAAAAAAAAAAAACACAAACTTTATATTGTTTAATTATATTAGCAAGTTTTTTTTTTTTTTTTTTTTTTTTTAATGTTGAATAGAAAAAATATACAAAATAAGTTTTTGTTAAACATATTGACATGCGTGCTTTTTTCCACCTATAATTCTGTTAACATCTGATATGGCAAGGAATCTTAATTTTCGTTGTTAATATTTTTCTCTTGTCGCGTTAGATGTTAACAAAATTTTATCTGAAAAAAATTACACATGCTAATATGGTTAGCATAAGTTTAATTTATGTATTTTCTTTTTAACATTGAAATAATTTGCTAATATATTAAAAGTGTGAGTAAAGGATTTTTTTTTTTAGGTATAATAAGCCAATTTAAAAACATGCATAAAACAAATACTCCTAAAATATGTATTTAATATTATATTAACCAACAATTAATTGCTAGAGCTTAAGAGATAAATCAAGTCCCGCTTCATCTGCTTGATCACTTTTTGGAGGCCAGCTGGCTCGCTGGAGATGATCACTTCTGGGTGGCATATTGATCGCAATATTATTTGATGAAGGAGCAGCACAAGAGCGAAATAAGCCATTGTCCTCAAACCTTGAAGAAGGAGGAGAACAAAAAATTCCCAACGGTGCACCACTAAAAGCCTTCACACTCACTGCCCTTAGCCTATCAACAGAAGGCTGTGTATTCATCATGACATGTCTAGACCACCCACCATGCCCATATCGATACTCTCTCAAAGAGCTCCATGGATAAGACGGCTTCTTGTGGATCAAGGAACCCATCCGTACCCCAACCAACCTATCAAAAGATCCATAATATTGGTTTGTTGGAAGGTTTGGATAGGGATTGTATGGAAATTCACCAAAATTAGCACTAGGATTGATTTAAGCGAAAACATCTTCAGTTGTTTGAATAAATAATTTTAAATTCTAATCCTTATATACATAAAAAACTCTTTAGATAATCGTGTACTGTTTTGTATGTGTTCAACAAAATAATAAAGAATTAATCTGAGTTTTAGAACTTAAATACCTTGAGAATCTAAAAAGAAAAAAAAAAACCCAAGTATTTAAATAATATATTTTTGGAGAAATTCATGTTTTCATTTCTATACATCAAAAAGAATATATTTGGATAATAAATTCTAAAAAACACGTGAATTTTCTTTAACCATTAAAATAACGTGATTGAGCTTTTCTTTTTCTTATTCTTCTTCATCTTTTTTTATAACGAAAATGGGGCATTAGGGATTGCTTTCCATAATTAAAATTTCTTAGATATATATAGAGCTTTTTATTTCTTTATTTACGAAAATGGGGCACCAGCTGCAGCTAGGGCTTCCAGCAACAACTTAATTTCTTATTGGGCTTAAGATTAAGCCCATAAAGCAATCCTTTTGGAATTTTGAAAAAGGGTTTACTTTTTCACAATAAAAGCTTTTAATTAGCCTCCTCAAAGGAAAAGCCCAAAAAATAATGATAAAGATTTCTTTTTAATTTTTTGTTTCACGGCTGGAAATATTAAACCATCTCCCACAAGCAAGTTTTCATTTCAAAAATCACAAAATATCCTTGAAAAAGAATTCCCTTCTTGATTTAGGGATTAAATAAAAGTTACTTTACTCATTTAAAATTTTAAATAAATTACTTTCTAAATTCAAGGATTACAAGCTATAATCTAATTTATTTGGGATTATATATATATATATATATATATATATATATATATATATATATATATATTTGTATTTCTTAATTTTAGTTAAGAGACATGCTAATAAAATATATAGTTGCCATTTTTCTTATTGAAGCTTTTCATACTTTTCCTTTTTTAACTAGGTTTCTTGCAACGGGTATTATTCAACCATATGTTTAATACATTGCACGAATATTCTTTAGTAGGTTATTTTGATTTTTTTAAAAAGGAAAATATTTGAAAGTTTATTGATTAAAAATTTTATATTTAAAGTTTGAATAATTTTAAATAAATTTGGATAATTTATAGTTCAATATTTTTTTAATTTAAAGAATATAATAATTTTTATTTTACTAAAATTAAAATTAGGAAGATAAAAATATATTTTTTTGTCCGATGTTTAATTAGTAATTGATAGTATGAAAATAGAAAGCTCATATACATATTCATCAAAAGAAATTCTTCAAATAGTAATTATTAAGATGTCGTTTGGTTAACAAGAATAAATGGTTCAAAATGAAAATTGTAGGAATTGAAATGAAAATTAGAAAATCAAAATAAAAGTTAGAGAATCGAATGACATTTGCATTCATATACTATAATTGAAATAGTAAGAAAGAATTTCAAATTTTTTAATATCTAAGTTTTTAATACGAATAAGAATAGTAATTAAAAAAAATAATTTCATCAACTATGATGGTAGTAAAAATAATAGAGAAGATTGTGGTAGTAGTGGTGGTGAAGTAGGAGAAGGACAAAGAGGAGGTGGTAGTGATAATAGTATAATAATAATGATAATATGTTTTTTTTAAAATGATACCATCACTACAGAAGCCGACAATGGAAGAAGAAGAGTGGTGATAATGGTGATATAATAAAAGTGATGATGATTGTGATTGAAAAGTGATAGAATAATAATGATAATAGTAATTTATGTTATTACCATTGTTAATAAAGATTGTGTTAGAAGTAGTTAATACGCAATAAACAAAAATAATATACCATTATTTTGAAAAAAAAAGTAATTCTCATTTCTTATTTTTATTCTCACCTTTAACATGAAAATGAAACTACTTATAATTTTCATTCTCATTTCATTCTTTTCAACCAAATAACTATAAAACGAGAATAAAATATTTATTAATATTCTCATCTCTCCATTTCGATAACTAAACGACTCTTAAATGTCTATACTCTTTACTCTTTAGGAAGTCTTCTTTCTCTAACATTGTCAAGGTGCAATCAATATATAAAATTACATTGCGTTCTATCAAAATTACTATTACTATTATTACAATGTTTGTGAATTTCTTAATATCTAGAGATGTAATTTTAAATATGAATGAAAATTTTACGAGCCATTTTAGCTATTCTTTAATATAATTCAAATTTCTTTAAAGTAGTAAAATTCTTATAAATCTTGTTAAAGAATATATTCCACATTAAATAGTTAAACAAAAAATGAATAACGTATAAAGTTGAGAATGACTTGCTAACTATAAGACTAAAGTCTTCTGAATAAAACTCAATTTTACCTATCTAACTCTATATAGTATCAAAACGTCAAAAAAACCTAACATCCCAGTAAAAATCCTAAAACCGAAATCACGTATTAGAGCCTCAAAGAAGCCTAATAGCTCAAGTAAAGATCCTAAAACTCAAACCATTTGACAAATCTCAAAAGATGGATTGTACTACAAATGAGGAGGAATGTTAGAGAACATATCCTACATTAAATAGTTAAACAAAAGATGAGTAATATATAAAGTTGAAAATGAGCCACCTACTATAAATCTTAAATTTTATTTTTTATATAATTCAATCTCAATTATCTAACTCTATAAATTATTTGATGCTAATAGCGTAAAAGATGGAATAAGAAATAACTATAGACTTAATCATTTTAATATCCGCTTGCTCTTAAGTGTTTTTAGATTTTTGTTAGTCAAAATAAAGTGTTAATAAAGTTTTTTTTTTTTTTTTGAAAAACTACCTATTCACTTCAATTGTTTTCAAATATCTTCTCGACTTCCATATCTTAGTTAAAATTAACATGTGCGAAATTTAGATTAACATCATTAATTATACATTTAACACTATATGAATGTGTATATATATATCCGGCAAGAACATGAGTGAGTGTCAATTTTATAGTAACACACTAGCTTTTTTATTTTATTTTTTTCGACAGTAAAAGTATATATCACATTAACTAAGTATTATTCTGCAACAGGCAATCGGGGCATATCAACAATGTATGAGTTTCTTGTCTTTGAAAAATTCACTAGCTAGGACCCGACAGATCATATATTAATAATGATGATCATAAATGAATCACACATTAATTCAGTTGTTCTCTACCTTGATCCTAAACTTTACAGAAAATATTATTTTTTGCAATTCGAATAACTACGATATTTTATTAAATAATCAAATGTTAGAAAGAATCCCGCTACTAATTTCTCTAATAAATGAATCACACATCAAGAACCTCATTATAAAATACAATAATATCTTCTTGAGTTTTAATTTCTCTGGAAAATAACTTGCAATTATTATTGAAAATAAATATTTTACATACGAATCCTAAAATATATTCTCATTAAAAAAAGAAAAAAGAAAAAGAAAAAAAACTATGGGAATATATACATGATAGTTAATGAAGCTTGGCACCCCCAAAATTTGACGACGTTCTTATATCAGTCCTACATTAAATCTATCCTTGAATTTAAGGCTTATTTCAACGAACATACAGCCCCCAAAATTAATTATTGTTCTATAGCCTTTATCAGTTTATTTTATCTTTAAATGTGTTCTAATAATTTTCGTTTTGGCACCCTATTCTAAAATATTCTAGTTCCATCCTTTTATATAATGTGTATCTAGCTCATAGCTAGAATATTCAAGTGTATATTCTTTGAAGTGTTGATCTAAATGACAAATGAGCTTACTTTTTATGTTTTTATGTTATCATGAATTTGAATTCAATGCTAGGTTATGAGAAAAAAAAATAGTGAATAAACATGGCATCCTGCCTAATACCAAGAAAGAACGATGGTTTTTTTAAAAAAATTTATATATTATTTATTTTTTATGTAATGATTTAATGTAGAATATGTTCTGTATTATGAATTAAAGAGATTTATTCTCTTTCTTAACTTTCTAGTTAGTTCAAATTTTAAGTCCAGCATCTAAGAGATTGAACTGATCTCTCTGAATGAAATCGTACTGATGTAGAGGATGCATTTTTAAGATTGCTAAAAAAAAAAAAAAAAAAAAATTCTTGATCTTGATTGAAGTATAAGCTGAGTCGAAGATATCCCTAAACGTCGAACCCAAAAAAGAGAAAGAGAAGCACATTAACTCGATCATTAAATTATTTGTTTCATATTATCCCAGAAGATGCCAACATATATATAGCATCATTCATGTACGAGATCTTATGATTAGAGTCTTCTAACGTAAAATAGGAAGGAAATCTTACCTTATGGCTCTAAAATGGCGAGTTAATATACCAAATTGTAAACTACTAATCTGATTTCCTTAATTACTTTTATGTTTTCTTCTATAATTTTCCTTTTCTCATCAAACGGACTTAAATTAAAAGTTGGTGCCACCGGCCACAGTATGATTTTGAGATCTATTTAAAATCAAACAGATTTTTTTTTTTTAAGAAAAAAACTTTGAATCTTTACTCACTTAAGTCATCAAATCTCATTAATATTTTACTTAATCAAAATCCCATATTTGATTTTCATTTATTTCAGTAATTATTTAGCACACTCCAGGTCTTTGTAAAATTTTCAAAAACCTACCAAATAATATGTGCTGGAATTGGAAATTAATTTGCTTGACTGTTAATGACAAAAGATTAATCTTATGGCATGTGTGACAGCGCAGTGCCCACATAGCCTTTTATAAAAAAGGAAAAAAGGAAAAAAAAAAAAAAAGTTTAAAAAAAAATGGTAAGAGGAAAGGGAAACATCATAAAATTTCTCAAGGCCATATCTAGAACGAAAAATGATACAATAAGACAATGAAATAACTAAAACATGTGTCTACGTTTAATGTGAAATTCAAAGAAATGCTAAATACAATGAATAGAAATAGCATGAAATTAGCATGCTTGTAGCATTCTACTGAACAATACTAATTAATTTGCTAGAGCTTGAGAGACAAATCAAGTCCGGAATCATCTGTTTGATCACTTTTTGGAGGGTTAATTTGCTGGATATGATCAGTAATGGCCGGAGGCTTATTGACCGGAACAATATTTGATGACGGAGAAGAACCAAAATTGCGAACTATGCCATTATCCTCAAATCTTGAAGAAGATGAGGAAGGAGAAATTCCAAATCCACCATTAAAAGCATTCAGACTCTCAGCCCTTAGCCTATCAATGGAAGGTTGGGTGTTCATCATAGTTTGCCTGGAGGTCCAACCGCCCTGGGTGCCGTAGCGAAGCGCTAGCGGGGATGCCCACGAATAAGGAGGCGATGACTTGTGAATGAAGGAATCCATCCGTACCCCAAGTGACCTATTTAAAGATCCATAATATGGGTTGGTGGAGAGGCTTGAATAGGGATAGTAGGGCAGGTGTCCTAAAGCACCCATATCCATCTCTTGACGCCTCTTGGCTAGTGCCCGCTCCTGTTTGTGTGCGTTTTGGTGCCCACCTAGGGCTTGGGATGTGGAGAACTCTCTCTTGCAAAAGTTGCAGGAGAAAACCCTAGACTCGGTTTGCTTCGAGGTCTCGTCGGTGGATTCTTTTGCATGAGAGGAACCGACGTTCATGGGGCTAAACAGATTGAACTCTAGCTTCGATCCGCGGATCGAATTATCACTGGAAAGCTTCAAATCCAGCAAAACGCGAGCACTCGATTCGGGAAGGAGTGCCGGTTCGGATCCCCGGACAGCTTTCTCTTTCATCTTCATATTGGCCGTCTTTGTTTGATCGAGATCGCCACCATCTCTGCGTGGTGCTCCTTCCGAGGTTGCTGATATGCTAGAACCCTCAGATGGGCACCTTTGGGTACCAACTGATTCCATTGAGAACTCAACAAAGATCAAGTTTAAGTTTGGTTTGGCATAAAGGTTGTGAAACACATCTTTTTATTGAGTCTTGAATTAATGTAGTATCTTTTCATGAATGGAAAGAATCCCATTCTTTGGTTATTACAGTGCATCAATTGGGAAAAGGGCTTGAATGATGAAGAGCCTTAGAAGATTTTGTTTGATTAAATAGGATTCTCTTACAAATATTCCTAATATGTATTTGAACTCTTATGCGAACAGAGTTGCAGAGTCAAAATGAGTGTAAATGGGAGTCAATGCTTGATTTGGTGGTCTTCTAAGCACATAGATTTAAATAATACCGATTATATAACGTTTTCTAAACATCCTATTATCGTTATTTGATATTATATAATTATCTTTATTTGATATTATATAATAACAGTAAATGTTATTTTATTACTATGATAAGCCATAATTTGCAATTGCCACCATGATCATTTTTTCAATTGGGTCCCGAGTTATCTGTGAATTATGAAAAGCAATTATCTGCTTTCAGAAAGGCAATTATCTTTCCAGTCATGCAGAAGCTACTGTAGACGGTTGTTAATTTTTGGATGATGGCTCATGGTAAATATTAATGCTTGCAATTTCAATATCTTCTAGAAGGTTTTCCAATGATGGACTGGACTAGGCCCATCTTAATATAATCCATTAATCCTTATTTTTTCTGAAGAGGTAAAAAAACACCATGGTAGCATAGTCTGCACACTTTCATTTGACTGAATACTCTACATTGATGAGACAGAATATTGCACTCACAGGACAGGAATTATCCATGCATTTTGTAAGGAACTATTACCATTAGAGGATTGAAATGAATCTCCGGTCAGAATGCTTGAGCATTGAAGAATGCCGGCAACATCTTCGTGCAGGGACTAAAATACAAGCCACTTTAATTTTTGAGGCATTTTCATCAATTCTGGGGAAAAAATCTGAAGATACACTTCTGAATTTCTTGAAACACTGTCAGTAACTTGAAACCCTGTCAACAATACTCCTCAAATGATGTTTCTTCAATTTTCTCCTTCTCAGATTGCTTCTCCTGTGCAAACACAACCTAACCTTTGTAAATAATATCTCACTAGCAAGAGAATAAAAAATCTGATTTGAGAGATCCTCACTAGTCACGTTCTGATATGGATGATTAATTGTCAGTGCATGCTAGTTTTAGACTTCAAGCTATACTTATTCATTATGAAGGCTGGATTTATGAGTAAATTTCTAACTATTGCAGCAATTACGACAAAGTTCCATATTTACCATTGCAATTATTTATTCCTTCACTAGTATAACATGACCTCGTCAGCATATCTTCAACATCAATATTGCTAATACTCCATCACAAAAATAAATAAATAAATGCTAGCAAGTTGGCTTTCTCTGTTAATTGTTCCATGCAGGGGCAGAACAAGAATTTTAGGATTGGTTTGGCCAATACGAAAAAAAGTAGGATAAACTTGAAAATAAAGTGAGAAAGCTGGAACCATAGAGATAATAAATAATTTTGGGGGTAAAAAATATATATTTTCTGTAAAATAAGCCTAAACTTGAAGGATGTGATTAAAAATATTCCAAAAGTTTAGGACTAAGATGTAAAAGCTTTCAAAGTTTGGAGGTGCCATGGCACTCTCAACCAAACACCTAGTCCTGCCCCTGGTTTCATGCTCTTCTTCTACAAATATCAGTGTTGTAAGAACATTGATTACATATTATTTTTCAGCAGCAGAAATTTTGCCCTTTTCAACCAAAAAGACAATTGCTGTTACATTATGGCAAAAAGTGGTAAATGATACTTACCAGTACTGGTTGTGTAAGACAAAGGCATCAGTTGGCACTTTTTTCCCGTCATCATTGCGGTTCCAATGGTAGATTGCATGTGTCCTGTTCTTTATCTCCAATGTTGAGTGCCCATAACTGGCTTCTCTGAATGCAGAGTAATCTGGTTGTGGATCTTTAAACCTGCAGAATGAAAGCAACATTTATTGAATACCACCATCAGCAGTTTTTTCTCTACATGCAGAACTTTTTTTCCCTAGTAAGGCAGGTTTCCTGTTTAGCAACTTCAGTTACCTTCCAGCAAGACCTTCTTGATTTCCTCCATCTCCGACAGTAATGTAGACGGGGGCAGATTCATCTGCTGCCGGATAACGCTCACCACTAGATACATTGTAGCGTATGTTTGAGACTCGATACTGAAATTGGAAAAACAATTAAATAAAAAGTGTCTTAGAGTTCTTCTAGTACGAGGAAAGATATTTGTCAACAGAATTGTATAAAATTGTAAAACAAAATGCATGCCATACATGCATCAATATTAGCATGACAAAATAATGATCAAAAGTACAGAGCTTCAGAATTTCAATTTGCTAAGTGGATGACAAGATAAAATTATTAATTGGATTTGAATGAACCAGCATATAGTTTCTCCGATAAAGATTCTTTTGTTCTGAGCTCTTAAGATACAATGATACAAACATTAGCAACCAGATTGCAAAACAAAGGGAAAAACAGAGAAGGAAAGAAGCATACTGATCTTTCATAAGCATGGACATGCCCAGCAAAGACTACATCAACTTTGTGATGAACAAACCACTTCTCAAAGACTGCCCGCATACTTTCACCTTCCATGAAGTGTGCTTCATTACTATTGTAGATTGGAACATGCATAAGAACAATGAGCCAAGGTGTCTTCTCCCTGTCAACCCTGTTAAGTTCTTCTCTGAGCCATTCCCACTGAGGGGTATATTTCACTGTTCAAAAGTTCAAATATACTTTGAGCTAAATCACACAGATCTACCCTTAAAAAAAAATGCTATATATTTGGATGTTGCAGGGGTTTAATGATTCACTTTGGTTTTAGTGAGAGAGGTCAAACTACTTGTACTTGCTAAGGATTTTACTTAAATCATTTTTTTTTTAATCCAAGCATCTTATATGAAAGGAATGTCTCTGGAATGCACTGATTTCACTTGGTAGTTTTCAGGAATCAGGCTGTTCCCATTTTGAACATGTTTATACACCATGGTTTTGAAGCCGTATTTGGTATATGTTGACAGAAAAGTTCCTATCATGACTCCAGTTGATACCGTCCGACGTCATGAATAGGAAGGAAAAACACTACAAATACTCCTAATAAAAATCCTTTACTTTTAATGATAATGCATATCCTGCCGGAAATGTAGACAGTCCTCATATTTTTTCAGGAGCTATACTATAGATGCTACAAAAATCAGGGAGGAGATGCTAGCTAACATGACAAATTGAGACATTAGGACTGTTGGGTGGAGATAAAAAAATGTCACATCATAAGACAATTCGATGACTCGTCCTTTAACGTCCATGGGACAAATTATAGCTAGTTTTCCCTCTTCCAGCATTATGGTATCCTATAGCAAGGCAAAAGGGAACTGCCGCAAAAGTGCAATACCAATGGACAGCCTTATGGACCAGCCAAGCACCTATTGTGCAAACCGAAAAACAGGAATTTTTACCATATGAATGCTCCAATTTGAGATTGTCCTACGATCAACATTAAAATCTTAAAGCTTTCATGACATTGCACTTGCGCCACGATTTATAGAAAGAATATTTTCCCCCGTTACTTATTAGAATAGTTTCCTCAGGGATTTTTAAGAGGTCTCCAATCCAGCAGAGAATAAAAATTTAAGACTTCCATAACCATGCTGGTCTTTTGACCCTTGTCAAAACATTTCACCATATGTGATTGACATTATTAATATCAACCACAAAAGGTTCTAAGGTAGTGAATTGTGAGATGGAAGAATGGAAAACTCTCATTTGTTTATGTTAATAAATATTGAAAATTAACATATGATGACTGCTGAATTGATGTTGATGTAGAGAAGGGTATGAAAAGTTACCAAAAGGAGAATAGCTGGACAGCACAATTATATGAGCAGATGCACGTCTGATGGCATACCAGAGAGGGCTGCTGCTTTTGGAGGCCAAATGAGGGGTAGGGTATCGATTAAGATAAGACTTAAAAGGAATAACTTCTCCCTGACATATGTTACGATTATAAAGAATTAGGAACTGAGCAAGAACTTTAACTGCTAATGAAAAATAATTTCTACACAGAAACTACATTGCTAAGCATGGCATGCTGCATGTATGAAATTAGACAGAAAAGGAAAAGACAAAAAAAAATGCCTAATAATTTATTTAGGTAATTAAGGCCTACACACGGAAGCTGAAACTCATGTCTTGTCATGCCAAACTGTCTGGAAATTTACTGTATCCTTCAACTGGTTGACCTTTCGTTTCAATTATTATGGAAAAAGCACTTACAGTTGGTTCAATGAGGCAGTTATTTAAATCATCATATATAGGTATAGCTGGATGTGGGGATTTATATACTTTCACTAAGAATAAGCATCAAGGATATACATAACAATGAAAAATAAATAACAGAAATTGAAACCATCTAGTGGGAAAAAAAAAAACAGACTTTGCATGTGTCCACAAGACTATTCCATGCTTATGGAATGGAATGACAACAATGGTACCGTAGGAAAAACGGGAAGCATTAACCTGTATATGGCCCAGAGAATGTTTACTGCTAGTGTTACCATATGCAAATTATTTTGTGAATTAGACAATATTACTCAGCATGCATCACTAAAAAATCTCATGGGATCACAATAACCGTGGCACTATTGCAGCAATGAAAAAGAAAAGAATCTACAAATGGCCCAGATGTTTAATACATATGCATGCAAATATTTCTTGTGCAATGGACAGCATACATCATCAATGCAAGATAGACCAAAAGTTCTCATAGCACCAAAAAGTTAACTAAAAAAGTGAAAGACGACATCTTTTCAAAAAGCAGTGCAACATGATGAATGACTGAACATTTTACCATGTAAGGCATGTACTCTATTTCATGATTTCCAGCAGACCACATCCACGGCTGATATGCTGCACTTTGCTCAACGAAACGACCCCAGCTATCCCACCGTATACTAACATCATTGTACATATATCTATCAGCATAAGCAAGATCTCCAACAAATAAGACAGCTTGAGCTCCGCTCTGCATGTAATGCTCCAGCGTAGACAGGGAATTATATGTCTGGCCCAAGTCACCTGGAATAGAAAAGGAGTAACTTATTAATGAAATTCATAAGAAAATAATTTTCTTGAAGTTGGTAGAAAGAACAAGAGGAAGAGTAGAAGTATAATGACTAATGCTGCAAAAAGAGAAAGGTCGAGATTAGATAGAGGAATGCCCTTGAGAAGTTGGATTTTTACGAAACACTTGAGTCTGGCATGGACAAACCCAATCCGGTTATTTAATTTCAAATAACAGACCTCTTTATCATGGCAATATGCCAAGTTTTAGTTGAAAGACATAACAAACTATCCATGACACATTCTGACATATTTTCTCTAAAACTCTATGCAGTGGGTGCCCCTCAGATAAGGGGAATATCTTGTCAGGGTGGAGAACTAATTTCCTCCAAGTTCTGGAAATTGAATTATCTAATTGTTTTTCAATAGCCATTGTCGTGCTTCGTATAAAAGAACCATTTCAAGGCTAAAAAGATTCCATGAAATATATCGTACCAAATTATATTTAATTGAAAACCAGCAGCACATATCAAAGTTTAAAGCAGCTTAGTATTTTAACCTTTCAAAAATTTTATAATGGCCCCTGTAAGACTTTGTACAGAAAGAAACAACTCACCAATTATTCCAAACTTGTAAGGAGTATCTGGATTGATCTTTGGCGGTGTTTGGAACCAGAATTCTCGAGAAGAATCCCCACTGCCAATCTTGTAATAGTACTTGGTGTCATACTGGAAACAGGAAAGAAACTCAAGTGGTTATCTCTTAGACAGTTGTGAACCAAATGGATTCCAAATTGGTGGTGTGTCAATTGGCATGCTCAGCATGGAAATTCAATCGAAGCATGTCTAGATCCAGACTAACTACTCAAAAAAATGATTCTTATGTGTTTGGCATAGCAGAAAGCCCAAAGTGCCTTTATAATCTATTTACTATATGAAAGAGCTCTGCCATGTGTGTAATCTGTTAAAGTTGTTGACATAAGAGGGTGACAGTGTTTGTTCCAAGCAATTTCTAACACAACAATCTACTATATCAATAAAAAATTAGCAATTTATATGTTACTCAGAGAAAAAGACAAAATATTCAGCAATTCATGAATTTACCTACTTCCATGGTTCAATTATTAATTACCTCAAGGCCATCAACAAGGCACTTATGAATGTAGCCAGACTTATAATTGTAAAAGGTATAATTTCTCACTGTCCCCTCTGCAGTAAAATCATATTTCTTCGACACACCATATTGCACTTTGCTGGTGCCTGGTTCATCAGGTGTCACCCACGAGATAATTACAGCCTTTCCATTGTAGTCACCTTGGGTTATATGCACCTATGGTTAAAGTAATTCAGAAAAATATGGTTAAATAACAAAGAAATAACTATAAAAAGAAACAAATCCAGATATATATGGTAGATGATACACGTCTCACCACCATCTGAACAAATTAAATGATTCCAGGGACTCTCAAAAGAATGAAATGTATGCTTGATGGTAACATGCTTTTAGTTTAGTAGGTTTAAGATACAGGAACCACATCATGTCATAAAACATAGTACATCAATCAGTAACCATTCCACTTGAATGGTACTTTATTTTGTTGTATTTCCTCTTGATCAGTTGCACTGACTTCAGTTTCGCTTTTAGAAAAAAATTACTAAAGCCTACTTAACAAACAAAAGTACTTGATTACACTAATTCCATATAAAATGTGTAAGACAGATGATTAAAATATGCACCAAAATGCCATCCCCCCACTACCCCCCTCCATTTTCACATAATTGCATGATAATTCGATGAGCATTGAAGTTGGGTAGAACAGACAAAATTATCAAGCTGATCCATATGTCCACATGCAATTTGACCAAGACCTTTACAGAAAGATACTCTGCTTACTTGTTGTGGTGCATTATGACCCTCTGGGACTGCAAATACTTCATTATCAAGAGGGATGTCAATAGATGGCCATTCTGACCGAATGAAAGCACTTGTTATCCCTGCATTTCCATTCTCGACAAAGCCGGAGAAGATGAAGAGAACCAGTATAAGTTCAACCAATGTGGACTGCATCCCAACAACCTTTGGAATGATTATTGATTAATCAGCCAATAACAATTCAATAGCTGCATCACATAATCAGCAAAAAAATATCAATCACAAAGGGAAATCAACAAAAAAACCATACTGTCCATGTTAGACTAGTAATTCCACTCTAAAACCATATTTTCCAATAACAGTTAATTCAATAGCTGCATCCCATAACCAATGCCAACGTATAAATCACAAGGAAAAAAAAAACACCACTCTCAATTTAGAGTCTTAGACTAGTAATGTCACTCTCACACCATATTTTTCCTTCTAGTATTTTCCCTAAGTTTCAAAATGAACAACCTTTTCTTTTAGCTCTCAACTCAAAACAATTCTTATCAACCAACTCTAATCAACTCTCAGATCAAACAAACACAAACCTTTAGAAGTCCTTGCATCCAAAGTGAGAGACAAAAACATTACTATGCAACAAGAAAAATGGTTGGCAAGTCTTGAATTTCAAACAAAACCAACAAAACCCAGAAATCAAAGTGAATTAGCAATGACTAAAGCTAAACTCTTTTCTCATTCTACAACAAGCAATGGATCAAAAAATTTCAGAAAACAAAACAAAGATAAAATCATCCACATAGTAATTAACATATAAAAAAACTGCAAAGCAAAGAGAAACTTGAACCAATAGAGTTTCGTCGTCGTCGTCGTCATTTTAACCATTGAATTAAAGAGAAATCGTACCTTAGAACATCTGCAGAGGGCGATACAGGTAGAGGTTGGTAAGTAATGATAAGGCATGTCTTTTACCTTATAGGGGGAGAAGGATGAGGAGGAGTAGGTTAGCAGGCACGAACATGGTTGCGTGGCGTAAATTAGAAAGAAAAAAACAGTTTGTCGTGTAGTTTATTGATTGCCTTAGAGACAAGAATGCATGTGGTAAGTTGGAGAGGATTACGTGGCTTCCCATAATGGGTTGCTTCCTTCTGGGGTCCACCAATGGTTCAGGTCAGCAACACGACCCATGTGTGATTCAATCCAAAGGGGATGACGTCAGAGTCATCTTCCTTTTGTGGGCCATGTTGAATATCCATCTACTCTGTCTAACGTTTGATTTCTATTTTAAGGTGTCCGAAGGAGGAGGGGCAATAAAATAGAATATTAGTTAGATAGTACTAAAATGAGATTGTCTTTGTAAAAGGATAATGGACCGAACCTTTCTTAACTTTTATTCATTAAAAAAATCAGTCTTTTAGCTTTTGCATTTGAGCTTTTCTGATTTTTTTTATTTTAAATTTAGTCTATTCTATGATTTTTAACTGTTATTATTTTTTTATTTTATTTATTGATATTTTGATCTGAAATTTTATACACATGGTTGAAAAAAATACAATCTATTTTTAAAAAAAATATCATAATTTTTTTAAGGTCCAAAAGTATAAATTTTCATTTTATAAACATTAAAATATAGAAAAATCAGAAAAAATAGTAAATAACCTAGAATGATCTCAATTTTTTTCAAAAGCTTCGGATAAATTTTACCAAATGATTTTTATTATGAGACTCGTTTATGTGATCATTATTTTTAATAGAAAAGCTAAAAAAAATTAACTAAATTAAAAAAAAACGAGAAAGGTTAAACCTAAAATTATAAGTTTAAAAACTGATTTTCATATATGTTAAAATTTAGGAAATGTTCGACCTATTTAGCTTTTCTAAAATGATATGATATTGCTTTTAATTTATAAATAGCAATCCGTTTTTCCATCTTTAGGTCCTCAATCACTTTTATTGTCACTTTAATTACCATCACAAATAACGAGATTAAGTTTTTCTCGAATCATAATAGTAATAAAAATTATTATTATTATTATTATGAATAATTCTATAATTATCATGATCATAACTAATCATATCACTACTATAATCACTATGATTTCGTATTCTGAATATTTATTTTTATCAACATTTATCGTCACCATAATTATAATTTCTATGACTATAATGATTTTCAATTTCACCACTCTTTACCATTATCATCATTACCATTGATAGAGTCTTTTTTTTTTAATAAAAAACAATTAGTAAATGTTATTTTAATTTCCAACGAGAACGGAACTAACGTGAAACTATATGAAGGGTGAGAGAAAAGAAAAATGTTAAGACCGAGGATAAAAATAAAGTAAAACGAAGAGGGTCGTAAATCAAATATGTGAACTTTTGGGGGATTTAATAGAAAAAACGTTGTGATATAAGAATTAAATTGCATATATTATTTAAAAAAAGAACCTAAAAGATCTGGATAGTTGATTATTTTAGGACAATGACTCAATTGGACTGCACTCCACTTCTATATGTCTTTCAATCGTTCCTTTTATCTTTTATTTCATCTGTTTTGTCGATTTTCTAATATTTTTGTCTCCTTTTCACTTCATCTGCTTTGTCAATTTAACACCCTTGTATTGTTCACTTAAATGTTGTTATGCTGCTTAGTGATAGTGTCTAGTTACGTTTACCCTTGCTTTTCTTTTTCTTTCCCTTTTTTGTTCCTATTTTGGTAATTTGCTCATTGCTTGGATGAAGGTTAATGCTTAACAACGATGCTTCTGCTCCACTGTTATTTATTTTCCCTATAACCCGTTTGGTGTAAGTTTTGATAAAGTTTTTTTTTTTTTTTGTCCTTATATCACTTCGGTGTCTTAAATTTCAAAATATTTAAAATGGTACTGAACTATATATAATTAATTTGAGATATATTTAATAAAAATAAAAAAATTAATAAAAAATAGATTTTCCATAATTAACATAATTAAAGTTATATTGATTAATAAGACAACTTTATATGATTATCCAAAGTAAAATCTTTTTTTTATTAGTAATTTTGGAACATGTTCGATTGATATTTATAATTGTATTATAAAAATTTAGTTTGAAATATTCATGTTTCGTTTTGATATTTTTTAATTTTTTGAATTTATGTATTTTGTCTTGATTTATAATTTAATTTTGCTTGTTAAATTATTTAAAATTACTAAAAAAAAAACTCGTTTTGAGAATTTTTTATTATTATTAATTTTTTAATTTATGTTCATAGCATGTTCACATAGACACATTGACACATTAGGATGTTTGTCGAGACTCAGCCCCGTTGTGCTCATCCTCTTGATCACATGTTGTTGTATAATCGTTGTGTTGTTACTGCGGGAATTCTCTTCGGCATTGGATCTTCCATTCGTATTTTGCGCGCATGAATTTTTTGGTCCTTGCAAACGTCGCTTTTTAGTCCTCGTGTTTTTTGCACATTCACTTTTGGTTCTTATGAGTTGTTTCTTTCGCCCTTTTATTTATTTATTTATTTATTTATGTTAGGCTGCCATTAAAGTGGTTTTGTAATTACCTTATCGCTCTCCCTTTTAAAACTTTTTCTAGACATCCACTATGGAAAGGCCCTTTTTTTCATTTTTATATTTTTTAATTTATCTTTTATGCCATCAAGTCGCCCCGTTATCATGCTTTTGTCCTTCCTCTCTTTTTTTTGTTTTTTTTGTTTTTGCACTCTTTTTTGTGACTTCCCAAATCTATTATGGAAAGCATTTAAATGCATAATTTTTTTATTGTCGAACTAAATTTTAATGCGATCAAAATAACACCTAAATTATTAAGTTATGATAATTTAAGACTCGTGCTATTAATTCGGACTATTTAGACTCTAAATTATTCTTTCTTTTTATCTTTAACGATCAAAACATTGACCATTAACTAGAATATAGTTTAATAGCAAAATTTATCCCAAAACCATTGAGATTGATGTAAAATATAGTATATACTCGTCAATTTAAGCTATTCGAACTCCACACTATTATTATTATTATATCATCATCATCATCATCATCACCATCTTGTAAATTTGATCATTCTTTGTTATTTATGATAGTGAAAATGTTGATCGTTAACCGAAATACTTAAAATGACAACGTTTTTAGCATTTCAATTTTATTTTAGAATTAAAATTAAATTCAAAATAATAACAATATATATATATATATATATATATATATATATATATATATATATATATATATATATATGGATCTATTGTACATTCTTAATTATCAAAAAACAAAAGTAAGTTCCATAAATAAATAAATAAATAAACATTCAAGCTACCTTAAAGCTAATTGTTATTAAATATATTTTTTTAAAATTAATTTAAATTATATAAAAATAAAAATAATTCTTTTTTTTTTTTACTAGATGGATTGATTACATGTTATTAATTATCTAGCAAAAAAAAGTTAAATTCATAAACACAAAATTATCTAAACTTTCTTAAACTAACTATTGATAATTTTAAAAACGTAACGATTGACAATAATGAAGAAGGATAAAATTTGTCAAAAAACTAACAGTTTATGGTCCAAATATCTTCAATTGATAGTATAATGAAGAAGGATAATGAACAATTGGCAATTATTCATAGTTTATATGTCCAAATAGTTTGGGGTAATTTGTATCATTAAATTGTTAGACTAAGCTCTTTAGTGGACAAATGCCCCGAGTTAGAGTTCATTGATGCTTTTAATAACCTTCAATTTTCCTTTCGCTCCTTTGGTAAACAAATTAGATTGATTGAGTTCAATGTTTTTCTTCTAAACTTTATGAATGTTATTAATAGATTGACTAGGGAAAAGGAGACAAATATATATATATATATAGTAAGAAAATTATCATTTTGGGTTATTGCTTGGTTAAATACGGATAAATTATTGCGGCATTGTTTTTTTTTTTTAAGAAAAAAGCTAGGAATTACTATTTATTTTCTCATATTATTTCTTTTTGTTCTCTCTAAAGTATTGCCTACACGTGCCTTTTTTTTTTTTTTTGTGCTTTTGCTTTTTTTCCCCATCAATTTATTTTGATTTTTATTATTATAGATTATTGGGCAAAAATTATGGACAGATCACTCATTATTTTTAGGTTTCTCATACAATCTAGAGAGAAATGTGATGTGTGTGTGTGTGTGTGTGTGTGTGTGTGTTTGTGTGCGTGTGTGTTTTTATATTTTAAAATGAGCATATATTTTAATTTATACCACTCTTATTATTTGAAATTTATTCTTTTAATTTTTCATTTCTTATAGAAATTTTCATCAAAAGGATTTTTTATTAAATTTATTTTTTAAAAAAATGTGATTTTTTAAATTAAATTTTAGAACATTATTATTTTCTCTCTCTCTTTTTTTTAATATATAAATGATATAATTTATATGATGGATTCTAATAATTTTTTTAATCATATCTTTGCATGTGAGGCTTGGCACGACGATTGGCAATGTATAGTTTAGAAATAAAAAAGAAATTCATGTGCTTTATTTGCTACTTTTTTATATAATCAAAATTTATCAATATCAAATTTTTAAAGTTTCAATTCTATTCCATTAACTTCAAACTTATTTAATATATTGCTTACAAATTAACAGTTTTTTTTTTTTAATATTTTCCGTTTTGGGTTACAAGCTTTAAGCCTATTTAGTATAGTTATTATGTAAAAAAATAATTAAATTATTGATTTTATTAGATATTAACCATGCAACAACACAAAATACAGATCATTTTCTATTTATTTATTTTTGGATATTATTAAATCAATTTCTTTCAAATTAAATAATTAAAATGATATTTTTGTGACCATTTACTATTTATTTATTTATTTTTAGATATTATGAGATCATTTTTTTATTTGTTTATTTTTATGCAAGTTTTACATCAATTTTTACTATATTTTATGTTATTTTTTTTATTTTGTATTAA